CCTGTGTGGTTGTTTCAACACTTTCCACCTCATGTTCTCAACTGCTTCACCTCCTCAAACAAAGTTTTACAAGTAAAAGGACATGAATTAGTTTTACCAACGCTCTCCACTGGCAAAAATCAGAGCAAAGGAACTAGAGCTGAATTCGGGATCCATCAGCCTGCACTTAAAGTGACACAAACAGTAACACTCAAACCTCATCCATCTGCTGCCTACAATCATTCTTCAGAAGCAGTTTTCCATTCAGTTCACTTTTTTTTAAGCACAAAGATATATTAACACTTTGAGACATAGGCAGAAGCTTCATTAGAAGTGTTTAAGAAACACAAATCTATGGGTAGAAAAGCATAAGGGCTCTTACTGCATACACCAGAGAGTGGCTCCTGCATAGCCAGGGCAGTGCAGGCAAGTATCTGGTGTTTTACAGAGCACGAAGCCACTGGAAAGGGAAATGCTGTTATTAGTCTTTATCAATGCCAAATAAGCAACTAATGGGCTGTTAAAGAGGGCTACAACCCCCTGAAATCCTTTTAATCTTAGCTATTGCTTCAGTGCTTAGGGTTTGTGGTGTCCTGTCACCATGCCCTGGGTATTTCAAGCCAGAACAAATCAGTGATACTTCCAGCACTGCAGGGAAATGCAGGAAGTTAAAAATAGGCAGTGAAAAGGTCTCTAAATCCAAAAGAATCTTTGGACTCCAGCTATGGGGAGGCATTAGCCCCTTATTTAAAGGATCAGTAAAATAAAAGCAAGTAACACATTACCCAAAGCTGGAGCCAAAAGCCAACTCCATTTGTTGGTTTAATGAAAACCACTTTTTCCCTTTTAACCACAGGAAAGTTGTATTTCTCCCTAATTAAGAGGTCTATAAATACGGGGTTCTGGGGGGAGTCTGGTGATAAATATGTTTGCCACAGCCCCCCCAAAAGCTGAATTCTATCAGCTCTTGCCCTAGAAATGAAATGTTCCTCTCATGAGGCTGATGCATCTGCTCCCAAAAGGGAGCAAGTCAGGCAGCAACACAGTTAGCAAGCAGCAATCCCAGGGATAACAGAACTTGGATGTGGTTTAAGATGCTCCTGACAGCCTTGGAAAGGCTCTTGAGACAAGAGCTAATCCCATTCCTCACTGATTTTTGGAGGGATACATTATCTTCTGCAAGCCATAACAAAGATTACAGCCATGGTTCAAACTCCCCTCCTCAGAGAAGATATCAAAAATGGGGATTAGGTGGCACTGGGACACTCTGGATGGAGACACAGGACAGCTTGCTGTGGTCTGACCCCCAAAACACCCCCCCAGATGCAGCCCCGAAGTTCAGTCCTGGTTTCTGTATGTTCAAACAACTTCCCCCAGAACAGATGGGTTCTCACCACAGGAGATTCTACCCCAATCCTCCATCTGTGTATCTGCTTCCATGCCCTGGCACTGCTGATGTTGACCATGGTTATCTATTTAGCGCTCTTGTCCTCTCAAATATGACACCAGCAGCTCCTGACTACTCACCCCAGCACCAGCCATAAAAAGAAATGCCATAAAACCCAGAAAAGGACCATTTGATGGCACAGAGAGGAGCAGGAAGGTAACAAGCATCAGCCTGGTCCCTTCTACAACCTCAGACTGACACACTGGCTACACCACATCCAAGATGTGTTACCCACATCCCAGTGAAACGGCTCTCCTCTTCCCAAAACTTCCACTGCAGAAAAGCAGGAGCCATTTCAGATGGGCATTCAGGAACCAGTTAGACACAGCTGCCCCACACCTACCTGTTCCACAGCAAAGACAAGGCCAGCATCCACCCTGCCCCACCTCCTGCTTTTGGTGATTCAGAGTTCAAAGAACCAAAGCTGGTTCCACACCAGAGGGGTCTGATGATGGCCTCTTGCAGCTGAAGGGGGCAATTCCAGCCCCTCAATACTCATACTGAGTCAACACAGGGAGTTAAAAGCAAAATGAAACATTAAGGGTTGAGTTGCACTGCTCTTCTGACGGTTTAAGTCGCTAAAGTGGCTCTCTCCTAATTCATGAGCAGTGGGACACAGTCAGGAGAGGGCCCACCATCATCCTTGCTGTTGTGCAAAGCTCCACGCTAACCTTCAGCCAGGGAAACAACAATTCCCAACCTTGACCACCTAAGAACACGACTCTTGGCTCCAAGAAACAAATGCTGCTGATGGATAATGAAAAGAGAATGAAGGACATGGGAAATCAGCAGTAGGAAAAGGCAGGAAAGTCATCTTCATGAGGTAAAGTAGTGGAAAACTGCTTAGGTGAAGAGAAAAAAGGCATTACCTGCAAGGTCAGGCAGAAAGAGGCCCACCTAGAAAAGGAAAGAATTACAGCTCTACAGCCAAGGGATGTTCTTTCTCCATCCTGAACACAAAAGGGTTGTGAACATCAGACTCAACTCAATTCCAATGATGCGGACACGAAAGAACAAATCCATACAGATTCCTAGAGGGGAGGAATGTCACTGTGGCAGCCTCAGCAACTTTAGCTACTGCTGTAATCCCTCACAACCCCCCCAGAGAGCATATCAGCAGCCTCTGCAGAAGCATTTGGCTCTGCCCATACCCCAAATATAGCCCTGAAAGGGAAACCTCCTGAGTGAGCTGTCGCTGAAACAAGAACCAGAAGGAGCAGGACAAGCTGCTGGAGGCACTGCCAAGGTTACAGAGGGGTTGGGAATAGCTGCACATGGACAGAGGGAAAGGGGAGGGAGCAGAGCACCTACAGAGCAAGGGCAGGGCTGGATGAGGCCACTGCTCCAGTTGGAGCAGCTGCCAGATGACAGTTTCCTTGTGAGTTTCCCTTTGCAGGTGACTCAACAAAAAAAGCTCTTGGTGAGATGAGGGATGGGGAGAAGAGCAGCCCCCAAAGGCACCCAGAGCTGCTGGAGACAGGGGTCCCCTAAGCTCCCCTCCTTAGTAGAGGAAGAACCAAACTGCCACCCCCCAGGCTTGAAAGAGGATTCATGTAGCAGAGGCAGCCCCCTAAAAGAGAGAACGTGCCCCCACATAGTCTATGGGAAGGGGCACAGGTTTAGGGAGACCTCCAGCATCAGCTCAGCCAGCAGAGCCTGCAAAAGACCCCCAGGAAGAGGGAGAACCCTACAATTCCCCTTTCCTATGGGTGGGAAGAGAAAAGGGATCTCCCAGGTAATAACGGCCTCCACATCCTCCTTTCTTGGGGTATGAGAAAAGACCCCATAGGGAATAGGGGTCCTCCAAACAGGGAATGGTGTGATCTCCCACAATCTCCTTCCCAGACCTATTAAGAGGAAAGGAAACTAAGATTATGAGGTCACCCCACTATCCCCTGGGAATGTGAGTGGGGAGAAGTAAACCCAAAGACCAAGGGCACCCTGAGCCTCTCCCCTCAGGACTCCAGGGGTGAAGCCAAGAACCACACCGACACCCACCCCAAGCTTGAAAGAGGCTTCATGTAGCAGGGATAAAATCCCAAAGAGGGCACATCTCTCCCTGTAATCCATGGAAGCGGACACAGGTTTAGGGAGCCTTCCAGCATTAGCCCATCCTGTCCTTACACTGGTAACAGGATGCTCCTATCTAGAGCCTGTAATGAAAGGGAAGTGACCCTCAAGAACAGGGAGAACCCTACAAGCCCCCTTCCCTAAGCTTGGGAAGGGAAAAGGGATCTCTCCAGTAATGAGAGGCCCCCAGATCCTCTTTTCTTGGGTGTGAGGGGAAAAAGAGACCCCACAGGGAACAGGGGTGGTCCCCACAACCCCCTTCCCAGACCTATTAGAAGAAAAGGAATTAAGAGGTTGGGGGGGAATAAGGAATGTGTCACCCCACTATTCCCTGGGTATCTGAGTGTGGAAAAGTAATCCCAAAGACCAAGGGCACCCTCAGCCCTCTCCCTTAGGGCTTCAGGAAGATGTACACCACAGATATGGGCAAAGAGGCTTTGGGGGGACTTCCGCTAATGTTCCCAAGGCTGTAAAGGGGAAAGGACCACACTGACAATGGGGGAACCCCACAACCTCCCTTCCCTGGGGCTGTAACAGGAAAAGATACTCCCATATACAAGGGGATCACCCCCGAATTACCCCTTCCCATCGCATCGCTAAAAAGTGCCCCCCAAATCCTCCTTTAGAGACCCGCGAGCAGGAAGGCACCTCAAATATAGCAGTGAGATGACCACAACCTCCACTCGAAAAGCTGTAAAAGGAGAAAGAGATCCCAACAAGCCCTTCTCCCGGCCCCTGAGCCGCAAAGTACCCCACAGACCACGAGGAGCTCCCAACACCTCCCACCCCAGGGAGGTGACAGAAGTAAAAGACCCCCCAAAAACCCCATTAGGGAGGGCCCAAAGGGGGCAATGAGGGAACCCTGCGGGGGAGGCCGCACTCACCGGCAGCAATGGGCCCAGGCAGCCCCAAGGAGCTCCGCTCCGCTCGGCCTCCACAGCCAAAAGGCGGCAGCACCCGGCGCACAGGGCGTTGTGGGAGCGGCGCGCACCACTCACACCTGGGGGGGGGGGGGGGGGAGAGGCCGAGTTAGAGAGAGCGAGGCGCGCTGATTGAGACAACGCAGCGCACTTACAGCGCGGGCCTCATCTTCCCTCCTTCCCTTCCACACAGTGAAACAGCCGGGAAGCACGGGCAGAAAGCAGGGAAGGGGGGGAAGCAGACAGGGCCCCCCACCTTATCACAGAGTGGTACAACCCACGCGCGCAGCGGTGCGGAGGGGAAGAGACCAACAGAGCAAGGAAAACGGGGGGGGGGGGGGAGAGCGGAGCAGCGCAACTCATGGGGGGGGACGCGGGGACGCGGGGACGCACATGCGCACTGCGCGGCGCCCCGCCTCACCGGCCGGCCGCGCTCGGGAGCGGAGACAAAGGCCCCGGTTATAACGCGCTCACCCCCCCGGTTCCTCCCGGTACCGCTGTGTCCTATGGCAGCGGGCACGGCTCCGTGCCCGGAGGGGACACCGGAGGCTGGCGGGGGAATGGCGGGTGGGAAGCGGGGGGGAGTGACGGTGAAGATGTCGCTGCGCCGCGCTTACTCCATCAAGGACAAGCTGCAGGCCATCGAGAGGGTGAAGAAGGGCGAGCGGCAGGCGTCGGTGTGCCGCGCCTTCGGGGTGCCGGGCGGCACGCTCCGGGGGTGGCTGAAGGACGAGGCGAAGCTGCGGTGGTTCCTGGAGCAGCTCGGCGGGGACGTGGGCACCCAGCGCAAGAAGATGCGGTTGGCCAACGAGGAGGAGATCGACCGCGCTGTCTACGCTTGGTTCCTGGCTCTCCGGCAGCACGGGGTGCCCCTCTCCGGGCCTCTCATCCAGGCTCAAGCTGAAGCCTTCGCCCGGCAGATCTACGGGCCGGAATGTACCTTCAAAGCCAGCCACGGGTGGTTCTGGCGCTGGCAGAAGCGCCACGGCATCTCCAGCCAACGCATCTACGGGGAGGGTGGGCTCCCCGCCGAGCCCGAGCGGGCTCCGGCTGCTTGCCCTGAATCCCTGCCCATCCCGGCTTCCGACGCCGCAGGGTACGGGGATGAGCAGATCTACAACGCCAACGTCACCAGGCTCTACTGGAAGCTGCTGCCGGGGCAGACGGGTGAGCTTAGGGCTCGGCGACGAGCGGCTCCCCGCGAGCGTGTCACCGTGCTGCTGGCGGCCAACTTGACCGGCGCCCATAAGCTCAAGCCGCTGGTGGTTGGGAGCCACCGTAACCCCCCCAGTCTCCGGCATCACAACCAGGAGAAATTCCCTGCTTGTTACCGCTACGGCCCCGAAGCCAGGCTGGGACCGGCGCTGCTCCGCGCTTGGTTCTTCGAGGACTTCGTGCCGGGTGTCAAACGCTACCTGCGCCGGAGCTGCCTGCAGCAGAAGGCTGTGCTGCTGCTCAGCTCCACCTCACCCTCCTCTAGGACAGACCCTGAGGAATCACCCCCGTTGCAGACACCCGACGGCTCCATCCGTGCTCTTTTCCTCTCCAAAGGTCCTGCTGGGAGCAGCTCAGCCGGAGCGGGAGGCCGTATCCCGGCGCCACTGGAGCAGGGGGTGGTGCTGGCCTTCAAGCAGCTCTACAAGCGGGAGCTGCTGCGCTTGGCTGTCTCCTGTGCTGCTGGTGGCTCGGGTGGGCCCATGGACTTCGTGAGGTCTTTCCTCCTCAAGGACATGTTGTACTTGGCCGGGCTCTCCTGGGATCTCATCCCTCCTGGCTCCATTGAGAAGTGCTGGTTGCTGGGGCTCCGCGCTGCCTTTGAGCCCCAGCCTGGAGAGGAAGGGCGTGGAGACCCCTCACATGGGGAGGACGGTGGTGGGGACAGCAAAGTCTTTAGTGACTTGACCCATCTGGCTGCATTGGCCTACAAGCGTTTGGCTCCTGAGGAGGTGGCTGACTGGTTGCACTTGGATGATGCAGCCCCGGGTACGGAGGAGGACAATGGGGAAGAGGACGCTGAGGAGGAAGGTCCTGGGGGTTATGGGGAAGAGGAGGATGAGGATGAGGAGGCAGCTGATGGAGGTGGCAGAAGGGGTGGCAAAGGAGGAGACACCTTGTTGCCCACAGCTCGAGAAGCCATCAAAGGCCTGGAGACGGCACTGCGCTGGCTGGAGGGTCAGGACCCCCGACAAGTGGGGCCACTGAAGCTGGTGCAGCTCCGTTCCCTCATCAGTATGGTCCAGCGACTCCACCATGGCAGCAGCCCCGATTCCTAAGGCAGGGTGAGCCAGGACTTCTTGGCTACCAACCACCACCCCACTTGGGGCAGGGGGGACAACGGGGCTGGGGACACCCTGGTTGTCCCAGGGTGGACCTACCAGCGCTCCTCACCCGTCCATCATGGGGCCCAGGAGGTCTGATTGCCCCTGGGCTACCACAGCTAAGGGTGGGGGATACAATTTAGGGCTGATGGGTGGGTTGTGCAACAACTCCTCCGTGTGTTGTGTCTTTGAGGGTTATTCCTCACTAAAGAACATTGAGGAGGTGCTCTGGGACTAAGCAGTGGTGGCCCCCTGGTCAGTGGCACTACTAAAAGGGGGTGGATGTCCCCAGCACTGCCCAGTCTTCCCAGTTCCATGGGGAGAAGGGGTGAAGGAGGAATGTGAGGAGCCAGGATGATGGGGGATGTTGCACTAAGTAATTGCCTGTATCTTGGCTGAGGTGGGCACATCCAGATGGACAGGGACCACTCCTGGGGTGCTGGAAGGCCAATGTTCTGATCTGGAAGAGGCAGGTGATGCTCTTCCCACTGCCAGAACAGAGTGCTGTTAAGCTGGGGTGGTTTGGGGCTGGTTTGAGACAACTTTCTTCATGCACTGCATTGGGGATAAGGACACTTGAGTAGTACCTGAGAAGCTGCGGTTTCCCAGAGAAGGTCACCTCCATCATTCCCATCCCAGCCCGGGAGCACCACAAAGACCTGCTGAAACATCACCAGAGCATCCTCATGAAGCTGAAAGCTCTGGGGATGCAGGCTCAGGTGCCTCATCACTGGGTTTGTGGGGTGGTTGAGGCTGAAAGAGACATCTCATGGTACAAGGGAGATGTTCCTCATGAGTTGAGGTGGGAGCAGGGGGATTCCCAGCATTGCCTTGACATACTGGAGGCATCAGATGTGAATTTAGCAGCTCTTGATCTAATTTAGGTGAATTTGGGGCCTGCTCAGCCTAATTATTGACAGGAGGAATGCAACCACCCATAACCCATCAGTGCTGCCATGCCCTGTGGCAGCAGTGGGGTGGGTGCTTCTGCTTGTTGGGTCTTTGTCTCAGAACTTGAGAGATTATGACAATTAAATGGATTTTTATTCCCACTTTGGTGCTGTTGTGTGTTAAGACACATGGAGCCACGGGGGTGGCACAAAGGGGACCTCCATGTGCTTGTGTCCTGCGTTCAGCCAGCTCTGGGAGGTGAGGACATTGAACTGTGGAATAGTTGAAGGGAGCTTAAACCTCATCCAGTTCCAACCCCCTGCCACGGGCAGGGACACCTTCCACTAGAGCAGCTTCCTCCAAGCCCCTGTGTCCAACCTGGCCTTGAACACTGCCAGGCATGGGGCAGCCACAGCTTCTCTGGGCACCCTGTGCCAGCGCCTCAGCACCCTCACAGGGAAGAGCTTCTGCCTAAGAGCTCATCTCAGTCTCCCCTCTGGCAGGTTAGGGTTGGAACTGGATGAGCTTTAAGGTCCCTTCCAATCCAAACCATTCTATATAATGGCCCATCCATCAAACCCATCTCTCTAATTCAGCAGCAGGCATGTTGTGTGGGACCATACCAAAGGCTGATACCAGAATCAGCCAGGCTGGAAAAGCCCTTTAAGCTCATCCAGTCCAACTGTTCCCCCGCGCTGCCAAGGCCACCACTAACCCATGGCATTGAGGGCCTCAAGTACACAGCTTCTGAACACTTCCAGGGACAGTAGAACTTTCTGGGAGATGACATCTGTAGCTCTTTCATTGTCCACCAACACAGTCACTCCACCATAGAAAGCCACTTCCTTTGTCAGGCACAATTTGCCCTTGGTGAAGCCAGGGTGGCTGCCTGAAAACACCTCCTTGCTTCCATAGGGCTCACCATGCCTTCCAGGAGGATCTGCTCCATGATCCTACCAGGCAGGAGATCCCTCTTTTGAAGGCAATGAGTGCTGTCCTATTTCAAATTAAATTCAAGGAATTTAAGCTGGTTTGGTTAAAACCTGGGTTTAGCAAACCATGAAGGTCACCAGCACCTGCCTTGGCATGACCCAGCAGCACCACGAGGCTGTGGCTTCTCTCTTGGGTTGGTGCCACTGGTATTTGGGACGACGGTGTTCCTGGAGACAGGACCTCGAGGAGGATGCAGGTACCATCAGCATCCATGATGGAAGAAGCTTTCTATCTTCAAAGTGCTTTGGAGATCATCACTAACTGCATCCATGAGGTGCCAGGACATGCAGAAGGCTCAGATCTCGAGATAGCCAAGTTCTGAGGTTCTACCCTCTGGAGGTGCAGCAACCCAGAGCTGAGAGAGGGTCTGGGCTTCCATCCCACCACCTCACTGCTGGGTCCATCTGCAGGACTGTGATGTGATGCCAGTGCCTGGCTGGGGTGGGAGGTGGAGGTTCTTTGGCTGCTTGACTTTTCACCCATGTTTTTGGGATGCAGGAGCAGTTTCGTGTTCATGCACGCACCTCTAGAGCTGAGCAGAGGAGCAGGAATCAGTGTCCATGAGCACGATGAGTTTGGAATCAAAGTCTTCCTCTATTCTACCAGCTCCCCACTTCTCGAGGTCCTTTGGCATCCTCAACAGCACCTTTGCTGGTCCTTGGCTCCTGCTGTCCCCAAAACCCCATTCCCAGTGCAATATATCCCAGCACAGCACTGGTGAGCACAGAACCTGCGTGGCATCCGCTCCATCCCTGGTGAGCACAGACCCAACGTGGCATCGGCTCCATCCCTACTGCCCCAAGGACCCATGACTGTCACCTCCCCATGGAGATGACCCCATGGTGGCTGCAGAAGCCCCCTGAAGACTGAAGGGACCAAAAAGAACCAAACCGGCCATGGTGCTGCCCACGTTTATTTGGTCCCAGCCTTGCAGAGGTAGCGTATGGCATGGACACGGCTCCACACCATCTCCAACCCCGACGAGGGTCTCCTGGGGGTCTCAGGGTCCCCCTTGCTCCCTGAAGGGGTTCGCTCTGGTCTCCATCACCCCTCCTGCTCCACAGGGGATGGAGGGGCTCGTCTCCAGCCCGGTTCTTAGTCCTCAGCCATGCTGCGTGCCCGGTTGGTGGCCGCCTCCACGGCGTTCATGACGGTGGCCCTCAACGCGCCCTTCTCCAGCTGGTGCAGTGCATGGATGGTGGTGCCGCCGGGCGTGCAGACGTCTCCCCGCAGCTTCGCCGGGTGCTCCCCTGTCTCCAGCATCATCTTTGCTGCGCCCTGCAACAGAAGAAGGACATGGAAGTGCTGGAGCAAGTCCAGAGGAGGCCACGAGGAGGATGAGGGGCTGGAGCAGCTCTGCTCTAGAGCCAGGCTGAGAGAGCTGGGCTGGGGCAGCCTGGAGAAGAGAAGGCTCCTGAAGGGGAGACCTGAGAGCAGCTCCAGTGCCTAAAGGGGCTGCAGGGAACCTGGAGAGGGGCTTTGGACAAGGGATGGAGGGACAGGCCAAGGGGAATGGCTTTAACCTGACAGAGGGGAGACTGAGATGAGCTCTTAGGCAGAAGCTCTTCCCTGTGAGGGTGCTGAGGCGCTGGCACAGGGTGCCCAGAGAAGCTGTGGCTGCCCCATCCCATGCCAGGTTGGACACAGGGGCTTGGAGCACCCTGCTCTAGTGGAAGGTGTCCCTGCCCGTGGCAGGGGTTGGAGCTGGATGAGCTTTAAGGTCCCTTCCAACACAAACCATTCCATGATTCTATGAGAGACCCCCCACGTCCCCTTCTTGCCTGAGCATTGGATGTCAGCACCCTCCCATCCACACCCCTGCGGCAGGGGACAAGGTGCTGAAGCATCCTTCCCACCACCATGCACTCTGCTACCTTCTGGTGGCCTCATCTTTGGTTTCAAGAGGGGAAACCGAGGCAGGACATCACCCAGCACCTCCTCCCTCACTCTGCCACCTCGCTGGCGCTGCAGGGCAGGAGGGAGAGGAGCAACACTGGGTGTCCCCAGGTGCCACCTCCCACTCACCAGCAGCGTCTGAGCCGCGATCCTGCTGGCTAAGCCACCTGGCATTCCCATCTTCACTGCTCCCTCGGCCAGTGCCTCGGCAAACAGATAGACCTGGGGCAGAAGAACATCAGGGGTGAGCGTGGTGCAAGGTGGAGAACCCCAAACACCAACTCCGGCCCCACACGGGTGGGATTTCTCCTGGTGCCCCATGTCCCGCTGGTGCTTACATAGGCTACCCCGCTGCCGCTGAGGCCGGTGTGGATGTTGATGTAGGATTCGGGGACCTCCTCGCAGAGGCCACAGGAGGACAAGAGGTTCTTCAGCAGGGAGGCTTCCTCGTCACCAGCACCACTGCCCCGGGCGAAGACCATTGCTCCCGCCTGCACCACACAGGGCAGGTTGGGCATGAGCCGCAGCACCTTGGTCCCGCTGGGGAGAAGCTGGGGAGAGATGGGGATGGGAGAAGGGTGCCAGCTCCAGGGAGCACCCAAAGGTGTCGTGGGACACTGATGGGTATCATACACTGGGGCTGGTGGAGCGGCGAGGTCCATAGGGTAGGATGTGGGGAGGGACATGGGACCATAGGACAGAGCACAATGGCTTGTCCTTCTCCGTGGGGAGGGAAGAGGAAGAGGAGGATGAGAAGGAAGAGGAGGAAGAGATGAAGGATAAGGAGGAGAAGAAGGGAGAAGGAAGAGGAGGAAAAAGGAGCAAGAGGAGGAAGAGGAACAGGCAAAGGGATAGCAAGTGGGATAGGAAGAGGAAAAGGAGGAGCAGACTCACCCTCTGCAGTGTCTGGAGGGTGACACCGGCCACCAAGGAGACGACGATGTGGTGTGGTCCCACAGCAGGACGGATCTCCTGCAGCACACCCGGCAGCACGTGGGGTTTGGTGGCCAGGATGACCAGGGTGCTCTCCTGCAGCACCTCCAGGTTGCAGTGCGTGGTCCGACAGCCCGACTCCTGCCCATGCACAGGGAGAGGTGTCACAGCCTGGGACCCACCAACCCCACTGTGGGGACACGGTCTGGGGACCTGCTCTGGCCACAGAACCAGAGCTGGGATGGATAAGCCAAAGCCATGAATGGGGCAAAAGGGTGTCCTGACACCACGGTGAGGGGCATCCCAAAAGAAACATGACCAGGAGGTCAAAGGAGTGATCCTGCCCCTCTGCTCTCATGAGACCCCACTTGCAGCACTGGGTGCAATTCTGGGGTCCTCAGCATAAGAAGGACATGGAGCTGTTGGAGCAAGTCCAGAGGAGGCCACGAGGATGAGCAGGGGCTGCAGCACCTCCTGTATGGAGCCAGGCTGAGAACATTGGGGCTGTTGAGCCTGGAGAAGAGAAGCTGCGTGGAGACCTCAGAGCAGCTTCCAGTGTCTGAAGGGGGCTACAAGGCTGCTGGAGAGGGACTCTTCATCAGGGACTGCAGTGATAGGACAAGGGGTGATGGGTTCAAAGTGAAACAGGGGAAGTTCAGGTTGGAGATAAGGAACAAGTTCTTCACTGTGAGGGTGCTGAGGCGCTGGCACAGGGTGCCCAGAGAAGCTGGGGCTGCCCCATCCCTGGCAGTGTTCAAGGCCAGGTTGGACACAGGGGCTTGGAGCACCCTGCTCTAGTGGAAGGTGTCCCTGCCCATAGCAATGGGTTGGGACTGGATGAGCTTTAAGGCCCCTTCCAACCCAACCCATTCCATGGTTCTACGTCTCCCACCCCACGGCCACCAAGCGCAGTGATCTGTCACCCTGTGCCCGCACTCACCCTCCATGCATCCAGGTTTTTGTCCGAGGGAGCACTGGCCAGGATGCTGCTGGCTGGCACCTTCCCTTGGGAACCACAGGGACAGGGGTGAGTGAGCAGATGGGGGCTGATCTCAGCCTCTTCTCCAACCCCAGCACCCTCAGGACAAGGAGCAAAGGGAGCCAGACCCTGCCATGGGAACGGCTGTGGGGACCCCACGGGTCAGCATGGGCACTCATGGGGATGGCTGTGGGCACCCCGTTGTGCCCCAGGGCAGTGACAAGGGGGGTGACCCCAAATGCAGGGGCCATCTCCCAGCTTCTGAGTAAGAGCAGGGCTGTCTCTGCCCTGGTCATGGGGCACGGTACCCGACTGCCCCCATGTCCCCACTCCAGTCTATGTGTCAGGGACCCTGGGGAGGGCGGGGGCCAGGACCAGGCTGTCCCCATGTCCCCACACTGCTCTATGGGGCAGAGACTCCGGGGAGCAGGACAGGACAAGGCTGTCCCCCCACTGATCAATGGGCAGGGACCCAGGGGAGGGCAGGGACCCCAGGGAGGGAGACAGGACCAGGCTGCTCCCAGATCTACCCCCACCTCCACAGGACAAGGACCCACAGGAGGGGCCAGGACCGGTATGTCCCCATGACCCTGTCCCCGCTCTATGGGGCAGGGACCCACAGGAGGGGCCAGGACCGCTATGTCCCCATGACCCTGTCCCCGCTCTATGGGGCAGGGACCCACAGGAGGGGCCAGGACCGCTATGTCCCCATGCCCCCGCCCGCCCCCCCCCGCTCTATGGGGCAGGGACCCATAGGAGGGGCCAGGACCGATCTATCCCCATGCCCCCCCCTGCTCTATGGGGCAGGGACCCACAGGAGGGGCCAGGACCGATCTATCCCCATGCCCCCCCCTGCTCTATGGGGCAGGGACCCACAGGAGGGGCCAGGACCGATCTATCCCCATGCCCCCCCCTGCTCTATGGGGCAGGGACCCACAGCAGGGCCGGACCCCCCCGCCCGTACCGGCGCGCAGCAGCCCCCGGGGGGCCAGGACCGATCTATCCCCATGCCCCCCCCCCGCTCTATGGGGCAGGGACCCACAGGAGGGGCCAGGACCGCTATGTCCCCATGAGCCTGTCCCCGCTCTATGGGGCAGGGACCCACAGGAGGGGCCAGGACCGATCTATCCCCATGCCCCCCCCCGCTCTATGTGGCAGGGACCCACAGGAGGGGCCAGGACCGATCTATCCCCATGCCCCCCCCCCGCTCTATGGGGCAGGGACCCACAGGAGGGGCCAGGACCGATCTATCCCCATGCCCCCCCCTGCTCTATGGGGCAGGGACCCACAGGAGGGGGCAGGACCGATCTATCCCCATGCCCCCCCCCCCCCGGCTCTATGGGGCAGGGACCCACAGGAGGGGCCAGGACCGATCTATCCCCATGCCCCGCCCCCCCCCCGCTCTATAGGGCAGGGACCCACAGGAGGGGCCAGGACCGATCTATCCCCATGCCCCCCCCTGCTCTATGGGGCAGGGACCCACAGCAGGGCCGGACCCCCCCGCCCGTACCGGCGCGCAGCAGCCCCCGGGCCAGGCCCCCCGCCATGCGCCCGGCGCCCACGAACCCGACGCGCAGCTCCGCCGCCTCCATCGCTCGCTGCAGACCACGCCCCCCCTCAACTCCCATTGGCTGCTCGGGTGCCCTCCCCCTGCATCCTATTGGCGGATCCTGGCTTAGAGGGGGCGGGCTCTAGGCCAATGTTGGGGGGGGGATATTTACGTAGGTGCGGGCGCGCCCCCTGGGGGCGGCGGTTGTGAGCGGGGTGCGCCGCGTGTAGGGCGACACCTACCGGCGGCGGCCACCGGCCCCGGCCCCCCCATTCCGTCCCCTTCCATCCCTTCCATCCCTTCCATCCCCTTCCATCCCTTCCATCCCTTCCATCCCCTTCCATCCTCCTCCCTTTATCCCCATCCCCTTCCGTCCTCCTCCCTTTATCCCTCTCCCTTCCATCCTCCTCCCTTTATCCCTCTCCCTTCCATCCTCCTCCCTTTATCCCTCTCCCTTCCATCCTCCTCCCTTTATCCCCATCCCTTCCATCCTCCTCCCTTTATCCCCATCCCTTCCATCCTCCTCCCTTTATCCCCATCCCCTTCCGTCCTCCTCCCTTTATCCCTCTCCCTTCCATCCTCCTCCCTTTATCCCCATCCCTTCCATCCTCCTCCCTTTATCCCCATCCCTTCCATCCTCCTCCCTTTATCCCCATCCCCTTCCGTCCTCCTCCCTTTATCCCTCTCCCTTCCATCCTCCTCCCTTTATCCCCATCCCTTCCGTCCTCCTCCCTTTATCCCCATCCCTTCCATCCTCCTCCCTTTATCCCCAATCCCTTCCATCCTCCTCCCTTTATCCCTCTCCCTTCCATCCTCCTCCCTTTATCCCCATCCCTTCCATCCTCCTCCCTTTATCCCCATCCCTTCCATCCTCCTCCCTTTATCCCCATCCCCTTCCGTCCTCCTCCCTTTATCCCTCTCCCTTCCATCCTCCTCCCTTTATCCCCATCCCTTCCCGTCCTCCTCCCTTTATCCCCATCCCTTCCATCCTCCTCCCTTTATCCCCAATCCCTTCCATCCTCCTCCCTTTATCCCTCTCCCTTCCATCCTCCTCCCTTTATCCCCATCCCTTCCATCCTCCTCCCTTTATCCCTCTCCCTTCCATCCTCCTCCCTTTATCCCCATCCCTTCCATCCTCCTCCCTTTATCCCCATCCCTTCCATCCTCCTCCCTTTATCCCCATCCCTTCCATCCTCCTCCCTTTATCCCCATCCCCTTCCGTCCTCCTCCCTTTATCCCTCTCCCTTCCATCCTCCTCCCTTTATCCCCATCCCTTCCATCCTCCTCCCTTTATCCCCATCCCCTTCCATCCTCCTCCCTTTATCCCCATCCCCTTCCATCCTCCTCCCTTTATCCCCATCCCTTCCATCCTCCTCCCTTTATCCCCATCCCTTCGGTCCTCCTCCCTTTATCCCTCTCCCTTCCATCCTCCTCCCTTTATCCCCATCCCTTCCATCCTCCTCCCTTTATCCCCATCCCTTCCATCCTCCTCCCTTTATCCCTCTCCCTTCCATCCTCCTCCCTTTATCCCCATCCCTTCCATCCTCCTTCCCTTACCCCTCTCTCTTCCATCCTCCTCCCTTTATCCCCATCCCCTTCCATCCTCCTCCCTTTATCCCTCTCCCTTCCATCCTCCTCCCTTTATCCCTCTCCCTTCCATCCTCCTCCCCTTATCCCCATCCCTTCCATCCTCCTCCCTTTATCCCTCTCCCTTCCATCCTCCTCCCTTTATCCCCATCCCTTCCATCCTCCTCCCTTTATCCCCATCCCCTCCATCCTCCTCCCTTTATCCCCATCCCTTCCATCCTCCTCCCTTTATCCCCATCCCCTCCATCCTCCTCCCTTTATCCCCATCCCTTCCATCCTCCTCCCTTTATCCCCATCCCCTCCATCCTCCTCCCTTTATCCCCATCCCTTCCATCCTCCTCCCTTTATCCCTCTCTCTTCCATCCTCCTCCCTTTATCCCCATCCCTTCCATCCTCCTCCCTTTATCCCTCTCCCTTCCGTCCTCCTCCCTTTATCCCCATCCCTTCCATCCTCTTCCCTTTATCCCTCTCCCTTCCATCCTCCTCCCTTTATCCCCATCCCTTCCATCTTCCTCCCTTTATCCCTCTCCCTTCCATCCTCCTCCCTTTATCCCTCTCCCTTCCATCCTCCTCCCTTTATCCCCATCCCTTCCATCCTCTTCCCTTTATCCCTCTCCCTTCCATCCTCCTCCCTTTATCCCTCTCCCTTCCATCCTCCTCCCTTTATCCCCCTCACCACTCCAAGCTTGGGCTGCCCCTTATACCCCTGTGTGTACCAGGCTTGTCCTTGTATTTGGGGTTTCACCTCCCAGCCTTTGGGTCCCGTTCCCCCCCCCCCCCCCCAGATCACACCCCATTATGCTGCTGCCCTGGAGCTGCTGGGCTCTGCTGCTCCTCTGCACCACAGCCAGGTCGTTTGGGTGGCTGGGCCTCAGCACCCTCCAAGAGGAGGTGAGGACCCCCCCAAGTGTCCACTTGGAGGTGACCCCAAGGGATGAGCAGCCCCAGGACGAAGCCTCACGCAGGGTCCCATCACCCCCGGACTCCAGTGCCCATCAGGTGTGGTTGTGAGGCTTCCGCTCCATTACTGGGAATGGGGGTCCTTGGGATCCCCCACCCTGGGTACTCCCTTTGCCAGATGTGGGGTGCCCTGTGTTGGCATGGGATGGGTTTGGGGGTGAAGGCCAAGTGCTGGGGTGTCCTTACACTGTTTCTCTTTATTTTGCACCCAAACCCAACCCCTTTTTAGCCCTCATCACCTTGGCTGTGCTGGCAGCACCCATGGGTGACTCCAGTGCTGCCATCATGGTGTAGCTCCAGTTGTCCCACAGCAACCTCAATGAGGAGGAGGTACCCGAGCTGCTGGTGAACCTGTTCCTTGTAGCTGCAGAGCCTGAGGAGCACCCAACCACCTCTGCTCAGCCTCCCCTCCTCATTTTGGGTCAAAACCAGCCCTATTTAGTCCATTTCCCCTGTTGCAGATACAGGTTTCCACTACTAACCCCCTTCCCACCTCCATCCTTCCTTGCTTCCAAAGGCTTTTCCCAAGTCTCTTTCCTCAGTGCCATGGGATGGAGGTTCAACACTGGGGGCTCATTTTGGGATGCCCATGGGGACAGCCCCTGTTGTACATGGGCATCACCACGGGGGGCTGTGGAGCCACATCCCATCATCGCCACCCTGACGTTGACCTCGGGAGGGGCAGGGGAAGCCACCGGATGGGGGTCTGCAACCATGTCTGGAGACCCCCATCCACCACAACCTGCAGGAGCCGGTGCAGGATGAGACCCTCAGCAGCAGCGAGCAGCACCGCCTGGCCCAGCTCGTGGAGGACATCACCCAGAGGATGGGTAAGAGCCATCAGCAGGATGCTGCTTCATCCCTGTGTCCCGCTCTGGGGACCAACCCAACCTCTTGTGCATCCCTATAGGGCGGATGAGCATCCGTGCGGCTCCAGGCCACCAGGTTGTCCTCTCCAACGATGAGCAGCAAAGAGCTCAGGATGCCTCTTCCAAACGAGGTGGGAGCATGGCAAACCCCATTCCCAGCTTATTTTTGCACCAGGATACCCCTGGATGCAGCTTCTCCAGCTCATCCCAGCTCCACATGCAGAGGGCAACCTGGACCTTCTCCTGACTGAGCAGCGCCGGTCGGAGGAGCTGATGGAGAAGGTGCAGAAGCTCAAGGAGAGCCTGGTGCTGATGCTGGCAGCTGTGAAGGATGCACAGAACCAGATGGAGAACCACCTACAGCACGTCCACAGCACCCTCAACCCACATGGTGAGGTGGGGATGGGTGCTGGAGCGTGGATGGGTGCTGGTGGGTACCAAGCTCTTGCTCCTTGTCCCACAGGTCAGAGCTCAAGTGTCATCTCCACCTGCATCCTCTATGTCTCCTACTTCATGCTGCTGGTCTCACTACTGGTTCCCACGCTGCCCCGTGTCATCATCCTCCTCCTCTTCCTCGTCTCCAGCGCCCTCAGTGGGGTCCTCAGCATCGCAGAGCTCTCCAGCCTCCTGGCCCTTGCTCTGGCAGGTGGGGATGGATGTTGGGAGGGCATGGTTGGGGATACATCAACTTGGGGGTGCTCTGTCCTCTCCCACCCCCTCTGTTCTCCACAGGGCAGTGGCTGGTGGCAGTTTACAGTGGTGGTGCTGTGCAAGCACCATGGTTGCTGCTTCTCCAGGAAGAACCCCATCACTGGCTCACCTCCACCCCAAACAGGTAGGAGATGGTTGGGGGGCATGGGCACAGCATCCTTAATTGCTGCTAGGCCCCATCGTTGGTGTCCCATCCTGCTGCCACCATTGGTCCCCAGGAACAGACAGGACACATCTTGGTGGCTTGTCTGCAGCTTCTGGCCACCTCATCCCACTTCCCTGCCCTATTTCTGCCCAAAGGAGGGTGTGGGGAAGTTGGAGACAGGGGTCATGATGGTGACACGGAAGGACCAAGGTGATGGGGCTCTGGTTTTCCTCCTCCCCACATAGGCAGTGTGGAATGAAGCTGCTGCAGGAGGAACTGGACACGGTGGAGATGAGCTGCCTGCAAGGTGAGAGCGTCCAGGCAGGAGGACATGGGAGAGATGACCATGAGGTGGGGAGGGCGCTGGGGGCTGAAGCTCCAGCGTGTCCCCATCCTGTGCTGGGTCATGTCTGTGTTTCCCTGCTGGCCTGGGCCCAGCAGTGATGGGAGTGTCAGCACCAATGCCATGTTCCTGCAGAGCCAAGCCCGGAGCAGCCCTCAGCCATGGCAGGGGACCTCCCCAGCACAGCAGGACACACGTCACCCCCCCATGGGGGCTGGAGGACAAAGCTGAGCTCGAGGAGGGTAAGTGTGGGGTGGGATGTACCCAGGTGGGGCCAGACCCTGCTCTTGGGGTCCCCTTGAGGGTCAGGTCCTCATCATGACCATACTCGTGGGTGCAGGACACCCCATTGGGAGAGGGGCCAGGGCTGGGGACAAGACACACGGGGACAAACTTTGGGTGGAAGGGGGTGTCCTGTATGATCCATGTGTCCTCAGGGGACAAAGGGACATCTCCTGCAGGACAAGGCTGTCAGCAGGGATGGAGGATGCCCTGTCTAAACCCCTTCTTCTCCAAGCAGGAGATGCTGGAGGTGTCCGTGGGCACTGGGAAGCACTGGGAGCCCAAACCCTGCAGCCCAAGCAAGTCCAGTGGCATGTGAGTCCCATCCATAGAGGACATCCCTTATCCAGGGCCACCAGGGGCTGGTGTCATTGTCAGTGACCTGACACTGGGGGGACAACCCTGCTGGGGAGGCTTTTTGGGGTGCTGATGAGTCTCTCCTCTGCTGTTAGGTCCTTGCTGGCCCCACGGTCCCTATGCCAAGGGCTCACCAGGGCCGGGCAGCGATGCCAGAAGAAAGCCATCCCTGGCCAGGACTTCTGCCATGTCCATGCCATTGGTTGAACCTCATGCAGCAGCTTGGTCATGGGCTCATCTCCCCATGTTTGACCCTCTACTCCTTCCCAGAGGGGTTTTAAACCCTCTTTTGGCTCTTCCAGGTCCTGCTGGAGAGCACGTGGTGGTGCTCAGGACCCTGAAGGTGCCATTTGACGTGGGTATGGGACTGTTCTGCAGAGCAGATGTTCCTCATCCCACCACTTTTAACCTATTTCCATCCATTTTAATAAATGCCCTATTTACAGCTGGAGCTTCCCCCATTCTGGTGTCCCCCCATTCTGACGCTGGGGCTTTGGGATCATCTGCATGTGCCAAAACCAACAGCAAAGGCCTGGTTGCCATTCCTGTGCCAGAGGAACCCTGATCCCCTTCCCTTTATTACAGCCTAATTACAGCTAATTAGTAGTGTAACCCATTAGACCCCAGCCAGAGCCACCAGCTTCTTGGACACAGCCAAGGTGGTGGCTCCACTTGGTTGCTACCATCGAGTCTGGGGTCCCAGCACCTTTTGGGGTGCCCAAACCTTCTTTCCACCTGCACTGAGCATCCCACACTGCTCCCAGCAGCAGGTGGGACCATGGTGGCTTCACAGTGGGCTCTGGTGGCCCTTCTGTACTTTGGAAATGTCACTGTGTTGTGTCCCCCCCCACCCCCAGCCCTGTCCTCTGCCCCAGCAAAGGACAACCCTGAGTTGAAGAGGATGATGCTGGCGCAGCATTGACCCGTCACTTCCTGGCGTTGGTGTAGTTGGTGCTGAACCAGGCACAGGTCTCCTTCACGGCTGGGAGGGAGAAGATGGGATAGGTTTGGGATTGGGAATGCAGTTTGGGCATGGAATGGTTTGTGTTAAAGCTCATCCAGTTCCAGCCCCCTGCCATGGGCAGGGACACCTACCAGTAGAGCAGCTTGCTCCAAGCCCCGTCCAACCTGGCCTTGAACATTGCCAGGGATGGGAAATCTACCACCTCTTTGAGCAGCCTGGTCCAGTCTCTCACCACCCTCACCACAAACAATTTCTTCCTCTTTTAGCTTAAAACCACTAAAAAAGCCAGGCTGGATGGAGCTTGGAGCAACCTGGTCTAGTAGAAGGTGTCCCTGCCCATGGCAAGGGGTTGGAAGTAGATGAACTTTAATGTCCCTTCCAACCCAACCCATTCCCTTTGTCCTACCACAACAGGCCCTACTACACAGTCTGTCCCCATCTTTCTTATAAGCCCCCACTGAAAGGATGGTCTACCCTGATGCCACCAAGGGTAACTGTGGTGGGTAGGACCTCAGTGTTTCATGGAGACCCCATCTCACCTTGCCTGAAGGGTGTGAACTGGAAGCTGGGCAGGTAGCGCCGTAGCTTGGCATTGCTGGCTGTCTTCTTGAACTGCCCATCGGCCTTGGTGGTGTCAAACTGGGATAGGAAGGGTTAAGGGGAAAGAACAGGTCTTGCTTTGTCCCAGTGTCCTATGGAAGGGATGCTCTGGACCATGGCGTCTTTCCTAGAGCCCTATGGATGCTGGTGGAAAGTGAGGTGCTGCCCATGCTGCAGCAGCCCTACGAACAAGGGGTCCAACCTGTGGTGAAGGATACAAGAAGCTCTCCCCTGAAGTCCATGGCCTCCACAATAGCTTCTGCTGCCTCCCTGATGGACACTTCATCTTCTTCTCCCACTGTGGAGATGGGCATGATTGAGGCTGGTGGCCCCATCCTCTTGCGAAGGGGTTGAGGGGGGATTATGGGGTCTTACCTGACAAGATGATGGGTTCCACCTCATCGTATTCCCGTAGGACCCAGAGAAAAAGCCTGGCCAGGTCCTGTGGAAGGGCAAATGGTTCTTAGGGGGTGTCTATTGCCCCCAGCCCTGCCATCACAAGAGGACCAAGCCCTGAGGACGGCCAACGCTGCCCAGGACAACCCAGGTGGACTCCAATGGTCCCCTAAGCCCCATACCCTGCCCTCCCCAAGCCATGGGAGGAGGGTGGTCCCCAAGGCCATACCAGGGAGTAGATGAACTGTCTCCTGGGCTTGCCTGTGCCCCAGATGGTCAGAGCAGAGCCATTCTCTGTAGGAGGAAGGGAGAGCAAGTCCATGAGCATCAGAGCCACCTCCATTCATCCCAGCTACCCTGCAGAGCAGATAGGAGGGGAACCCCCCTAAAAAGCTGTAAGCAGTCCTGCTGCACTCACGTTTAGCCAGGTAAACCTTGTGGATGAGCCCTGGCAAGACGTGGCCATCCTCGATGTTGAAGTTGTCATGTGGTCCAAAGACGTTGGTGGGGATGACGGCGGTGAAGCGGCAGCCATGCTGCTCGAAGTAGCCCCTGGGTGAGAGGAGGGGAGGTCAAACAACTGCGGTCACCCCCCTCCAGCATGGAGCTGTCTCCAGAAGCACAAAATGATTTGGGTTGGAAGGGACCTTAAAGCTCATCCAGCTCCAACCCCTGCTACAGGCAGGGACACCTTCCACTAGAGCAGGGTGCTCCAAGCCCCTGTGTCCAACCTGACCTTGAACACTGCCAGGGATGGGGCAGTCACAGCTTCTCTGGGCACCCTGTGCCAGCGCCTCACCACCCTCACAGTAAAGAACTTGTTCCTTATCTCCAACCTGAACTTCCCCTGTTTCACTCTGAACCCATCACCCCTTGTCCTATCACTGCAGTCCCTGATGAAGAGTCCCTCTCCAGCATCCTTGCAGCCCCCTTCAGACACTGGAAGCTGCTCTGAGGTCTCCACGCAGCTTCTCTTCTCCAGGCTGAACAGCCCCAATGTTCTCAGCCTGGCTCCATACGGGAGGTGCTCCAGCCCCTGAGCATCCTCGTGGCCTCCTCTGCACTTGCTCCAACAGCTCCATGTCTTTCTGATGTTGAGGACCCCAGAACTGCACACAGTGCTGCAAGTGGGGTCTCACAAGAGCAGAGTAGAGAGGCAGGATCATCTCCTTTGACCTGCATCTCTATGTGCCGAGCCCAGGTTATCTCCCCCAGCTCTGTTCAATTACTGGGAATCCCATGGAATTCCCTTTGCCCTGATAACTGATGGGTGCTTACATCCTACAAGGGCTCTCCTATCTGTTCCCTCATACCTGTTCTGGATGTCAATCATCCTCTTGGCATAGGAGTAGCCAAAGTTGGAGCTGTGAGGTGGCCCGTTGTGAATCTGGGGATGACAGAGCAGAGTTAAGCAGGGCAGGGACCTCTTCTGGGCTGTGCATGGTGCAGGAGATGCTCACCATGGTCTCATCAATGGGATACGTTGTCTTGTCCGGGAAGATGCAGGTGGAAAGGCAGGAGACCACTTTCTGCACCCCTGTCTCATACGCTGAATGCAGGACGTTGTCGTTGATATGGATGTTTCTCCTCTAGGGATGGAGGCGAGTGTGAGATCTGTGGGGTGAGTCCACCAAATCCCTCCAAATCCAAGCTCTGTGCTCCCCACAACCCTGCACCCTATGGGTAATAACCCATAAGCAGCTCCAGAAACCAGAGGAGACCTGGTTTAGCCATTGGAGCAGAGCAAGCCATGTCTCTATGTCCCACCTCGGGGCACCTGATAGTGCCCATTCCCTGGGTGCTCACCCAAAAATCCAGGTTGTAGCGGATGTTTTTGAAGAGACCTCCAACCATTGCAGCCAGATGGATGACATGGGTGGGCTTGTGCTGCTCAAACAGGGCCTTGGTCTCTGTGGCGCTCCTGAGGTGGGAGATGTTGGGGTTCAGTGGGGTCAGTGGAGGAGATTGGAGGCTTCCCAAGGGAAAACCCCATCAACTCACGTCAAGTCGGCGTCTCTGGAGGACACAAAGATCCACTCCTCCTCCGGCCGCCCCTCTCCATCAGCCACCACCTTCTCAATGGCTTTCCCCACCAAGCCGGTGCCACCCGTCACCAGGATGCGTCTGGCCACCGGCTCCGTCACCTCCATCGTGGCCAAAACCCTATGTGGAATAGAGGGGAAATAAGCTGGGGTCACCTTGAGCGTCCTGGCTATGGACCACCGAGCTCACCCCCACTCTGGTGCGGGCACCCATGAGCATCATGCCCACGGGATCAATTTTAGGGGGCCCTTTACCCTCTTCTTCAAGCCCAAGCAGGAAGGAAAGAGGAAGAGGGGAGCCTGGCGGTGCCGGGGCGGCAGAAACTCGTCAGCTCTGGTTGCTAATGAACTAGCTGGTTGGTGGCCCCACGGGCTCCTCCTGTGGAGGTGGCACCTGGGCTGGAGCCAGATGCTGCCACGTTGTGACACACAGCACTGCCCGGCCTCCAAAAAGGGAGGCTCACCCCACACACCCCATGCATGGGTCCCAGGTCTGCACCCCAGGTCTCCCCCTGCACCTCAAATCTCAGGTCTGCACCCTAACCCCCCCCCCCGTACCCCAGGCCTGTGCTCCAGTTCTCCTCCTGTAACCCAGGAATGAGGCCTGAACCCCAAGTCTCCCCCTGCACCTCAAATCTCAGGTCTGCAATCAGGTCTGCACCCCGTATCTCCCCTGCACCCCAACTCCCAGGTCTGAATCCCATGTCTCCCCTGCACTCCAACTCCATGCCTGCACCCCACATCCCCCCTGCACCCTAAACCCCAGGTCTGCACCCTAGAAATCCCCTTCACCCCAAACCCCAGGTTTGCACCCCACACCTCCCTCTGTACCCCAGATCCCAGGTCTTCACTCAAGTTTGCACCCCACAACTCCCCTGCACCCCACACTCCAGGTCTGCACCCAGATCTGCACCCCACAACTCCCCTTCATCCCAAACCCCAGGTCCGCACCCCATATCTCCCCTGCACCCCAAACCCCAGCTCTGAACCCCCCATCTCTCCAAACCCCAGCTCTGAACCCCGTATCTCCCATGCACCCCAAACCCCACGTCCGCACCTCACTCCTCCCCATCCCCCAACCCCGCCCCCCCATCCCTCCCCTCCGGGGGCCCCCCACCCCTGCACCCACCGAGTACTCCCGTGGTGGTGGGGGGGGTGCCCCCCGAAACGCTCCTTGGTGGGGCGAGGAGCTCCGTCTCACCCCGGAACGGGGCTCGGCTGGATTCGGCTCCGTTCGGCTCCCCGGCAGGACTCGGCTGGATTCGGCTCCGTTCGGCTCCCCGGCAGGGCTCGGCTAGATTCGGCTCCGTTCGGCTCCCCGGAACGGGGCTCGGCTGGATTCGGCTCCGTTCGTCTCGGTCGCTCAGCTCCGTTCGGCGGAGCTCGGCTGGGCCCGGAAGGGCTTGACTGGGCTCGGCCCGGAGGGGCTCGGCTTGCTCGGCCCGTTCG